GTGTAATATACGAATAAAATAAAGTAAATAAGATAAAAAATGTACAAGCAAGAATTTACAATATAAACAGAAAAGGTACCAGTGTGTGTGTGTGTGTTTGCGCATGTTACCAGTGTGTGTGTGTGTGTTTGCGCATGTTACCAGTGTGTGTGTGTGTGTTTGCGCATGTTACCAGTGTGTGTGTGTGTGTGTGTGTGTGCATGTTACCAGTGTGTGTGTGTGTCACACTAGTGTGTTACCAGAGTTCTGGGTCCTAGACTGGAGCTGCGGAGTGTTTCCAGCTCTTCTGTCATCTTGGTGGCCAGAGCCTGAAGGTATCCTCGAGCGTCCTTCTCATCGCTCACCCTGAAGACACAGACCGCCAGTGACTTATGGCACCTCCTCCTGGTCCAGCAGACCGGTTAATAACAACGAGCACCTCCTCCTGGCTGACTCACCACTGGATGATCTCTGCGATCTGCGCCTCCCAGTGAGCTACGCTCTCCTTCTTAGAGGACAGGTCCTGCAGGTCGTCCTCTAGCTGACGGTTCTGAGCAGTCAGCTGATCCACGAAGGAGCAGAGCTGAGAGAAGAGTTACGTTAGTGGCTGATTTATGGACTACAGTACTGCAATACACTGTACACCACCACCCAGTGCTACAAGACACCACTCTACTGTACTACCACTACTGTACTACCACTACTGTACTACCACTACTGTACTACCACTACGGACCGGACCTGCATAAAAACACATATCCATAAAACGCAGAGCCCATGAAAATCACCTGACGTATTTTAAGTATGACTGATACTCCCTGTTAAATTATTGCTATTTTCAGTAGCATGTGAGCTAAAGTTTAGCACTACTTATCATGTGACCGAGACAAGCATCTTGAGAAGAAGGAGAAGTGCATGTAATTGTAATTGAGAGAAAATCCGGTCATTTTTCAGAACAAAAGGCAAAAGTAGCGGTCGGCCCCCGATGGTTGGGAACCACTGTGTTATAGGGCTTCTTACTATAAAAATACTGTAGTACGCAACTGTACTTCAGTACTACAATACTTCACCTTGTCTGTTTCAGCCGTAAGTTTTCGGTTTTCTTCGGTCAAAAGGTTTTTCTCCCGTTCAGATTTCTCTTTTACAACTGAAACAGCTTCATCCATCTCGGCTTGTCTGCAGGAAGAAAACAAAACCTGGTTCAGGACCAAGCTGTCCCTGTCTGAGCTGGTTCAGGACTAACTTGGTTGTGGACTCACCGGTCCCTCTTGGCCTTGTCCAGTTTCTCTCGTAGCTGCAGCAGCTCCTTGTTGGCGGTGAGCTGCGCCCCCTCCGACTCTTGCAGGTCTTTGCGGAGCTTCTTGATCTCGGAGGAGTGGGACGAGTCTCTCCTCAGCAGCTCCTCCTCGTAGAACAGACTCTTTGTATCCAGATCGGCTTTCATACGGGACAGCTCCTGCTGGAAGTCCGCCCCGCCGGCGACTGCTCCCCGACCCTGCTGGGCCTGACACCAGATGCCCCGTGTTAATGCAGTAGGGACCAGGATTCGTTTAAAGGGTCACCAGTGAAGTCATCACCCAGTGTGATCCTGTTTTATCAAGTCGAGTATATTCAAAATGTGTTTCTCATCTTTGTAGTTTTCTATATTTCGTTAGAATGCTGCATTCCAAATATTGTTCTTCGAAACTTTTCTATTTTACCTTTCAGCTCTGTTTGCTATTTATGCTACGATGCCGTTAGCTTTCTATCTCTTATGCTTGAATTAATATAAATCAAATTCATAAACTAACATTGTTTTCTAATGGAGTTTTTTTTCAAAGCCTTTTAAACTTTCAAATGCTTCTGCATTGTCGTCTTTCAGCTACGACCGCATACAGTCCTCCCATCGGCTCGGGGGACGCAGTCCTCCCATCGGCTCGGGGGACGCAGTCCTCCCATCGGCTCGGGGGACGCAGTCCTTCCATCGGCTCGGGGGACGCAGTCCTTCCCGAGTCGATGGGGGGGGGGGGACGCACGATGGGGGGGACGCAGTCCCTCTTCTCCCCAAATACACACCTCTGATCAGACAAGTGGAACCTACAGTGAGGAAGACTCTCACCAACCGTAATATTGCTAATCTAATCTTTCAGCAATGTTTTGATACTCATTTCTTTATTTCTAACAATTCATTTCAGCTTTTCTTATTTCTGTATTTTCAGCATTCCAACACATTTTCTACTTCGCTTTAAAGTACACTGAGTTGAGCTGTGTTTGAATTGATCGATTGACTGACTGACAGTTTGAGGGTCCTCACAGTAAAGAAGTTCAAACATGCTATCGTGTGACCTCTGACCTTCAGGTTCTGCAGCTCCGTCTCCAGCTGTTTGGAGTGAACCTCAATGTGCTCCCTTAACTTCTTCTCCTTCTGCGCTTCTGCTTTGGCATCGTCCAGCTGACCCTCCAGCTGAAGGAAACACATACAAAGCTTTTATTCTGAAAGTCAGTGGGATTTCGTAGGATGGGGCTTGTGGTCCTCTCCTGGTGAAGAGGAGGAACTACAGCTGGTGTTCCTCTTCTCTTCAATCAGTTCGTTAGTTGGGACGCTTCAGCAGTCTATTTGTTCAAGACGTACTTTGAACATTTTCAGCTCCTTCATATTTGAAGTGACAGAAGCCGTTAAATATTCAGCCGCTTCCAGAAAGGGGTGCTATGACTTTACCTTTCTACCTCTTTTGCTTGAGCCCACAATCAAAACCCTTCTCTCACCTCCTTGCGGTTCTTCTCAGTCTTACGGATCTCCTGTCTCATGGCGTCCATCTTCTGCAGGAGCGTGTCCATCTCCTCCTCTTTGTCTCGGAGCTGACGGGACAGACGCTGTTTGGAGGAGCGCAGGTCGACCATCCTCTCCGACAGATCGGAGAACTCTTGCAGGGCCACTTTCCTCTGTGCGTGAGCCTCTTTGAGCTCCTTGCCGTGACTCCTCAGACGCTCCAGGGAGTCGGCCAGCTGCTGCTCACATGAGGAGGCCACAACACCAGTCACAATAATGTGTGGGACCTTCAAATACATTGATATTACGGGACCCTCATGTATCTGGTCCTTGATAACGTACTTGTGGAGACCAGATGGAGTCATCAGTGAAAGTAAATACCTTGTGAACTTCTTCTTTCTCCTGTCTCAGAGTCTTCACCTGCCTCTCCAGGCTCTTCAGTTTGGAAGCAGAGCTCTCGTAGTCCTGTCGGAGTGTGACAGCCTCCTCTAGCTGGTGCTCCAGCCGATCAGAGTCTACCAAGAAAAGAGGCACGGCTTATTCCCCCCCGACGGATTCTACTGCTGCCCTGATGAGTGCAGCCACACACAGTGACACCCACCAGTAACCAGCATGCAGCCCTTCACACACTGATGGGGTTGGCTGTGCTCTCCCCTCACCCAGTTGCCCTACTACTAGTATTACCACCACGTATAGTACTACTATCACTAGCAATCATACGAGTACACCACTCTGACCTGCCAGCTTCTTCTTAAGACGTTCAATCTCCTCGTTTAGCTTCTTGATCTCCTTGTCTCGGGTAAGAGTTCCCCCTCGGGGTGGAGCCTGCAGGGCCTGAGTTGACTCTGCAGAGGTCAGAGGTCAGAGGTCACGAGCCCTGCATCTAGTTAGCTGGGGTAAGGATCCTGTACACTTCAGCCCAACGCATGTCTCACCCTGGAGTTTGCGGTTCAGCTCCTGCTTCTCTTGCTCCAGTCGGCGAATCCTCCTCTCGAAGGCCTCCACCTCCTGCCCTCCTCCTCCCGCCCCCGCCTCCTCCTGGCCGAGGCCGGTCTGCCTGACGGAGCTGCGGTCTGCGAAGCAGCTGTCAGTGGTGTAAGTAAAGCCGACAAATGGGAGGTGCTGACCAGTGAAACCGCTGTGAGACATCGGAGGGCTGATCTCCTGCAGGAGAAACCAAGTGAGACTGGGTCAACGTTATACTCAGTGGGTGTGTGTAGTGTGTGCAGGGTGTGTGTATAGTGTGTCTACATCAGCGGTCGATCACCAAAGCAGTGCCGCCTGGCATTGAGAACAGAATCAAGTTGGGTCAAACGCAGCGTTTGGCCCATTATATGAGTAACATGAGATCTATTATACTAGAAAAGGTTGGTTTTTTGCCACGACAGACACCAACGGACTGACTACTCACCCCTGATGCTGTAAACCAGGGGAAACACTAACGGACAACTTGGTAGCGCTAGTTAGGGATCCTTGCTTATTAACAGACTTCATTCCAAAGCCACCGTGGCTCCGATGAGTTCAGGTCATCAAGTGAGCTGGTGACCAAGAACGTTCCCTCCTTTTTATATCGGTGTTGTTCCGACCGGGTACCGCTGTTACTCGTTGTTGTTGTTATTATTAGGACAAACGGATCTGGGGCGGTGGATCTATAATCTGTATGTAGGATGTCTGTGTGTGTGTTTAGTCTCTCATTAACGGTCTTTAACGTGGACCTGACCTGAAGGACTAGATTGAGGAGATCCGCATGGGAACACCTGTACGCATTAACACCTGGACTACACCGGTGGCTGTCCTCACCGGATTCTTGAGGACGTCGTCGTCCACGTCGAAGTTGGAGGTGTCGGTGGGCGAGGACACGTCAGGGATGTACGGGGCCTCAGCGGATCGGATGTTCTCCCAGTCGATGCCACTGAAGAAGGCGTGGCTCTTGAAGTCAGAGATCCCGTTGAGGCCGAGTAGGGTTCCCCAGGGCCAGGCAGGCGCTGGGTCAGGTCTTGGCGTCCTCGGGACACGTCGGTCCCATGGGAGGGGAACTGAAACGCTCCTGGAGACAAACCATGGTGAGGACCAGAGATAATGAGAGTAGTTCCCACTGAGACTTAGTTCAGATTTAAAGACAGGAAGTAGGACGAGAGTCAAGAGACGGGATGACCCTGATTCACTGTTCTGGATAAAAATTCTCCATGGTTCTCAAACATGGAGAACATCCTCTAACAGGTCTCTTATTTGAGCTTAGTTGTCTCTGACCTCATGGTTCATGATCTTGCCGTAGGTCTCAACCAGAGACTCAGCGTAGAAGGGCGTCTCTCCGTAGAGCATCTCGTACACGCAGACTCCCAGAGACCACCAGTCACACTCTGGACCGTAGCGCCCCATCCCGTCCTCCATGGCCTGCAGAATCTCTGGGGAGATGTAGTCCGGAGTACCCACGGCTACGGAGGACTGCACCTGCACCGAGACCAGGGACACAAGGACCACTCTTTAAATCTGTCCCCAGAGAACTCAAGTCTCAGCGAGAACCAGAGTGTTGGCGCCTTACCGTGCCGTCCTCCATCATACGGAGACAAGACCCGAAGTCAGCCAGGCGAATGTGACCGTTGACATCCAGCAGGACATTGTCCGGTTTAATGTCTCTGTGACACAAAGTGACCATTAAAACAACACACCAATAACCATCACCTGAGTCTGTGTCACCGATAGAAATCACAACTTTCTCCAACTCAACTGAGATAAATCTGAAATACTCATCGGCCCCCCATCCGCTCAGCCCCGACCTTCTCCCTCAACATTGATGGCTCCATCATCACCCCATCCAACCAGATCCTCGACCCCGCCTTTTCTTTCCTACCCCCCCACAGTTCTCATCATGCCCTCATAACCTGCAAACTTAACTACTGTGTTGAGGGTAGCATGATTATGTGTCCTATGTTCTAACCTTATAAGTCATATTATAGAGTACATAGAAAAGAGATGCTCAGTAGTTTTACCTAGGCATTATAAGAGGTATAAATCCTCATTAACACCCTATATATGCAGGTGTTCTTTGTTTTTCTATGTGCAGGTCATCCACATCTGTACAATGTAATATATATATATTATATATATATGTATGTTTGTCTTGAGATACGTTTGGTTGGGTTAAGAGACAAAAGTGACAGCAGTTCTGTAGAGATGAGACGCCGTAGTGCCTGGTGGGTTAGGGTTAGTGGGTTAGTGCCAGGTAGGTTAGGATTAGTGGGTTAGGGTTAGTGCCAGGTGGGTTAGGATTAGTAAATTAATGCCAGGTGGGTTAGGGTTAGTAAATTAATGCCAGGTGGGTTAGGGTTAGTGGGTTAGGGTTAGTGCCAGGTGGGTTAGGATTAGTGAGTTAATGCCAGGTGGGTTAGGGTTAGTGGGTTAGGGTTAGTGCCAGGTGGGTTAGGATTAGTGAGTTAATGCCAGGTGGGTTAGGGTTAGTGCCAGGTGGGTTAGGATTAGTGGGTTAGGGTTAGTGGCAGGTAAGTTAGGATTAGTGGGTTAGTGCCAGGTGGGTTAGGGTTCGTAGCGTTAGGGTTAGTGCCAGGTGGGTTAGGGTTAGTGGCTTAGT